TTCCTGAATGTACGTAACAGTATTTTTAACTAAAGTAGAATCAGAATAAGCAATAATTAAGTTTATCTTTCTTCCAGCTCCAGCCTCTGTACGGTATTCCATGAGTTTTTATGGCTCTATTCTACCTGCAGCTCTCTACTTACCAGTACAGCCACAGAAACACACTATCACTTCAGAAATGTTTCCTTAGGTTTGCATGGCAAAAGGCAGGCTGGGTAAAAAGCAAAAAATTATATATATATAAAAAAATAATCTCACTTTCAACATAAAGTGCCCTCTCTCCAGGAGATGCAATAGCTTTGGCCAAGGTTGGGAGGCTGGACTTACTTCTACAAGCCAACAGTCATGAGCCATTTTATGCAACTAGAGGAAGATGCAAGAGGTTTAGGCCATGGAATCCAACTTCCCTGGTCCTCAGAAGACAGGCACACGTGCGCAAGATTTGAAGGAAATCTGAGCAAGTAGTCTCATGTCTATTCATATGCTTGAAATTCAGCACATGCAAGAAGCTTAGCGGGACTATGGTTCTTTTTATACATTTAAACCCGTGATGCGGCTTTTAAAAAGCTACAGGAAGGTGTTTAACTTGGACTATGACACGCTATGAGCACTTTTCATAAACATTTTCTAAAGAACATAAATTTAAAAAAGAAACATCTTGTGGGTGAGAAGGGGCAGGATTTCTTCACAGTTTCAGGCTACTTATTTGATCTATTTTATGGAGTTAACACCCGGGCATGGAACAATTTTTTTTTTCTCATTGTTTTACTGGGGGATTGAAATACTTTTTTTCCTGCGCGTCCCTGTACTGGGTTTGCCTGGCAAGGTTTTGGTAGTTGAGGGTGGGGCATAGGGGTGCCTTCTGTGAGAAGCTGCCAGAAGCCCCCCTCATGTTCAGCAGAGCTAATGCCAGCTCGCTCCAAGACAGACCCACCGCTGGCCAAGGCCAAGCCCATCAGTGATGGTGGTAGTGCCTCTGGGATAAGATACTTAAGAAGGGGAAGAAAAAAAACCCTGTGCAACTGCAGTTGGAGAGAGGGAAGTGAGAAGATGTGAGAGAAGCATCCCTTGCAGACACCAAGGTCAGTGAAGAAGGAGGGGGAGGAGGTGCTCCAGGCGCCAGAGCAGAGATTCCCCTGCAGCCTGTGGTGAAGTCCATGGTGAGGCAGGCTGTCCCCCTGCAGCCCATGGAGGTCCTGGTGAGCCAGGCTGGCCCCCTGCAGCCCATGGAGGTCCATGGAGGAGCAGATGTCCCCCTGCAGCCTGTGGCGGACCCCACACTGGAGCAGGTGGATGCCCGAAGGAGGCTGTAGAATCATAGTGGTTGGAAAAGACCTCTAAGATCATTGACTCCAACCATAAACCTAACACTACCAATTCCGCCTTTCAACCATGTCCCTAAGCACCTCATCTACCTGTCTTTTAAATACCACCAGAGAAGGTGACTCACCACCTCCCCAAGCAGCCTGTTCAATGCTTGACTACCCTTTCATTGAAGAAGTTTTTCCTAATACCCAATCTAAACCTCCCCTGGTGCAACTTGAGGCCATTTCCTCTCATTCTATTGGTTGTTACCTGGGAGAAAAGACTGACCCACACCCCAACCCCAGTTCCCTCAACCACTCCTCATAACACTTGTTCTCCAGACCCTTCACCAGCTTCGTTGCCCTTCTCTGGACACGCTCCAGCACCTCCATGTCCTTCTTGTAGTGAGTGGCCCAAAACTGAGCCCAGCACTCGAGGTGCGGCCTCACCAGCACCGAGTACAGCAGGACAATCACTTCCCTGGTCCTACTGGCCACACTATTTTTGATACAGGCCTGGAGCAGGGGAAGAGTGTGAGTCTTCCTCCCACTGAGGAGGAAGAAGCATCAGAAATAATGTGTGATGAACTGACCATTCCCTGTCCCCCTGCAGTGCTGGGGAGGAGGTAAGAGAATTCAGGAGTGAAGTTAGAGCCTAGGAAGAAGGGAGGGGCGGGGGGAAGGTGTTTTAGGATTTAGTTTTTATTTCTCATTACTCCACTCTGATTTGATTGGCAATAAATTAAACCAGTTTCCCCAAGATGTATCTGTTTTGCCTGTGACGGTAATTGGTGAATGATCTCTCCCTGTCTTTTCTTCAACCCATGAGCCTTTCATTGTATTTTCTCTCCCCTGCTCAGCTGAGGAGGGGAATGATAAAGCAGCTTTGGTGGGCACTGGGCAGCCCCTCCCATTACACTGATACAGCATTTGCTTTTTATTACTTCTTCGTCTATGTCCTGAACTACACATGACTATTCAAAATAAATGTTCAAAAGGCAGCAAGAAGAGAACACCTCTGACTGAAACACCTCCAGAGGCTGAATATCTCAACACAGCCTACGATGGTTGAATTTTCCTGCTAGTCTTTACCTACTTTTAGCAAGATACATTTTACAGCCTTATTACTTCCTATTTTTTTTTCTTAAATGAGAAATACAGCTCTGCAGATTTTTATTTCAGTGTCAATTTTTTTTCCAGTCTGTATTGATTTCAGATTTTTCTAGAGGTTCAAAGTTCATGTAATAATTCACTTTATTTTCTCTTGTACTGTTTCCAGCATTTACCTTTGCTTTAAAGGTCAGAGCCTTTCACTTCTGTTACTTTTATTTCCTTGCTGCCTCTCTTTTCTCTGCAAGCTGTAACCGACTGTGTATTTTGGTGTGGTCTCCCCATCTTTTTCCACTTCCAATAGTATTTTCTAAACCTCATTGTATCTTTGAACAGTGTTTTGGGTGGTGTGGTTTTTTTTCTCTTTCAAAAACCACACTGACCACTTCTTGTTTTTTGCAATCTTCTTTCCAGAGGAGCTGCAGCCTGCTGTACATCGGCTATGAAGTCTCAGCAGTCCCAACTCTCCTTCCATGCAAAGGGATTCAAATACATCCTTTTGCAGCATGATGCTCATGGACTTACTTAATCTCACCAAGTGGTTTTATTGAAATCCAGTGCTCCAACTTGACTGTGAGCATTTATTTCGTATCAGGCTGAATTCAAATAATATTTTGATGCCTTACACATTTCTCTTGTTTGCTGTGAGTGACATGTTCTGAAGTGTTACACAAACATCTGACTTCAGGTTTTAAAGACAAGCAGCAAACTGCTGCAACAGAAGATGAGTAAGAGAATGATGCTGCCCGAATATATATTAATTCAGTACAGAAGATAAAATATGTTTTCAATACTCAGGAACATGTCTGATACAAATGCAGAAAATGTAGACTGGCAAAATTAATAAAGAAATCACATTTATTGGAAAGCAGGGAATTAAAGAAGAGCTTATGACCATACTTCTTCATATTTTATTTTTCTGAAGCAAAATCCTTTACAGCTTGAGCTAACTGCATGACTATTTCAGTTACTACCAGCAGCTGGGACTATGACCAGCTTAGAATGGACAACATTTAACAAAACAACATTGCTCCAGGTGTTTAACAATTCTCCCTGAAAGCCAGTAATGACATACATTTGAAGTTTCAAACTTCCATTCAACATGCTATTACTGCTTACACACTTATTTTTTTACAAGTAAATACATGTGCATCAAACTGTTTCTTCAGTATTTCATATTACAGGAACTGTACGGTGTATTTTTAAAGCACATAATTGAACTGGCAAAAGAAAACAGCTGACATTAAAAAATTGTTTGAAAACTAGTGCATTGTTTCTGAAGAGTCCCACTCAAAATGACTGCAAATATAGAAAGGATACATTATTACTGCATGATTTACTTGCAAGTCATGATTTCAGTTGTAAAATTAAACTCACCCCTCACCTCCCAAAACAAGACCACTTTCTATTAGTTGCTCTCTGTTGTAGCTTCCTGCATCGTATATCAAGTCCCAAAATGAAAGTCAGTGTCATGTCTTCTCTGTTGGGAAGATGGTTGTTGACTTTTGTGTAACTACATCTTAATGGTAGCAAAACTGTTCTTAATCCCTATTCCCCTCCACACAAATTCAGTAACTAGTGGTGAAAAGAGGACTGACTAACAGGAGGGAAGGGGAAGACAGTGGTAGTAAGCCTGTAAGAATAAGAAAAGACAGGAGGAGTAAGAAGGAAGCAGCAAAACCAATGATATATTGTGCTCCTCTTTACTTCTGACTATGCAAGAGGCAATTAACTATTCTACTTCTTAACACCAAAGAATATTTTACTTGAGCATTTTCTTAAAAAAACTTCTACTACTCCTATAAACTTGGAGCACTTTTCTGTTAACTGCCAATGAAAGGATGTGTTAATTGCCAATGAAATTTAAAATGTGAAGGCTATCATCAATACTTCAATAGAAGGGAGAAACAAAGAGGCAGGAATGTGTTTAACTAAAAAAGAAGCAAGAAAATAAAAGCCTTCCAAGAAATAAGACTTATAAGCACTAAATTGTAGATGTTAAACAGGAAAAAAAAGTGATAATTTTTAAATGCAAAAGAAGCAGTGTCCTTCTCCATATTGTATCTGAACACTTATTAGCTGTATGTAGGAATGTTTATGACATACTTCTCAATAGTTTATAGAAGTTTATAGAGTCTTCCAGTCACTTACATCAGTATCACTCTATATCTAGAAAGTAACAGATTGATACACTGAACAACACGAGTAATACTCAAATTTAAGGTGACATTTGCTAAAAATACATCTCAACGTATTTTTAACAAATGAAACTGAGATTGCAGTACACCAATGATTTCTTCATGACCATACTGCCAACAAGAGTGTGTGTAAACAGAATTGGCTTAATCCCCTCCACAGAATGAAACACAGTAGACAGAAAACCATTTTATCAAGACATTTATGAACAGAAGTCTCACTCAGCAGGATATCCCACACCATTATGCAAAGAGTTATATCTCATAATTTCTTTTTCAGTGAAATTCCTTTTGTTTTCTTCAGAGTCATCAAAGGAACTGAAGAAGTACAGAAAAAATGGGTGATGTTTAAGCATATTTGTCTTTTGAGTTGCCTGCACTGTGTCGTTGTCTATGTTTTCATCATTGCTGATGAAGAAGCTTGAAAACAGGTCAGCTGCAAGTGCATGCTGCTTTTAAATTTGTTTAGTAACTCTTCTAGTAACCTGTAAAAGGAAAACAGTTACAACTTTGGCAGATTCTGAAAAGGGAACAATTACCAAAAGTTTTGGCTATTCTGTCTGTGATTCCAAGTACACTGTCTGCTTAAAGAAAGGGCCCAAAATTTGATCTATGCAAATATCTGAGTATTACAGACATTTAGAAGTATACCAATGTGTCAAGATGATCTGTGGCCAGAAGAGAATCTAGCCACAGAGATGTTCTCAAGGTGATAAAAGCGCCCTTTATATAGCTTTCCTTCCAGATAAAGACCATCTTCTTGAGAGAAACTTATTTGCAAAATACAATGGCAAAAGGACTGGCAGGGAACACCATAAGATACTCCTGTAAGGAAAATCCAGAAACTGCCAGACTATGTACCATAAAACCAGTATCCCTTATCAAGGCTATGGCTTTTCATGTGCAGCTGAATTGTGGATTCAGTTCTCAAATTTGTCTTTGGAAGGTATTTTCTCGATTTCTCTCGAGTATCATGGCTGAAAGATCAGAGATGATATGACTGTTCTAGGAGAAACATTAACTCACTGCCAACCATGTGTTTCTGTCCTTCATAGATAACAAACTATGCATGAGTTCATTTTGGAGCATAACAATGGTTCATTTACATCTATGTAGCTGCCAAGGAGGTACTTGCTGCAGCGGATAATATTTATTATAATCCACAAACTACAGATGTCAGACCAAGGGTGCTGATGGCTCAGTTGTAGGAGATACTGTAACAGTGGAGATGCATTATGAAGTTCTACAGTCTTGCCTGTGTGTTTTGTTTTCCCTGTATTCTAGGGAAGAATGTGCTCTCTGAACTTTTTGCTCTATTTAAAAAAAACAACCTAGATAGGGCAGATGTATCACCAACTTTTTGGCAAGCTGTGATTGTTGAACAGCCAGTAACAGAAGAAATCACACTGCATGTTAAAAAACCCAAAACAAACCCAAGAACAACAACTTGAACCACAAAATCAGTATCTGCTTCCTCAGCAGGTCCTTTGGAGGGTAACTATGGCCACATTCATCATTTAGTATCATAGTAAAGATTATGAATGAACAGAAATGAACAGCTCTAAATCAGTGCACAAATGTGTGTTATTTTACACAAGTATGCGTAGATTACAATGAGCTGCTTGGAACTATGACAATTATGGTGTAATGACCTGGGAAACAGAACAAGTTTTGCACTGTCTATGGCTTATAACTCTGAGGCAGATGTAAAAATGATGCAGTTCTTGATTCTCATCTGTCCCATGAAGCTCAAATGCTTCTGACTAAGTGAGAAAAAAAAAAAAATCTACAGATGTTTCAGAAAGTCTGAGTTGAAATAACTCTCCTTACTCAAAACTGATTCCTATCTCTAATAGACCATAGGAGTTAAGTAAGGCAAGGAGGTATCTTGAGACTTCTTGTGGCTAGTGAGGAGTAGGTTTGAACAGTAGACAGAGGACATCTGGAAGAAGGCACAGTCTGCAGACCATAGGCTGCACAGTCTCTTCATGTGTCTACAAAATATTCTAAATTCTGACTGTTAAGTCCAAACTGATTTGATGCAGTTCAGTTCCTGAAAGTACCATAATACCCATCTCAAGTTCAAAACATCTATACTTATACCAACATACTCATTACAAACCCATCCTAGTTTTACCATACTACTCTTTATGAAGTTATGCTTGTAAAACAGACTACCAAATACTAGCTTGGATGCAGCAAAGCAGCTTGGTTGTCAAAGGTTGCTACAGTGGGGAAGGAGGAACCCAAAACTCCTCCTCCTGATGTTAAGAAAGAACCACAGACCCTTCTTAATTGTTTTTAAAATTAAACAGGCCAGTTTTGAGAGTTCCCCATATATCAACTGGCAAAAGCTTGGACTTTTTTCCTTGGCCAATTTTTTAATTGCTGCTAAATTCAGTAAGAGAAGACAATAGACCTCACATAAACTTTAAGATGAACAAGGAAGGCTAAAATAGACTGAAATTACAAAATAAATACAAAGCTAGATTGAACTGATAAGACTAGGATGGGCAAGAGGGATATGCCACAAAGCCATCGGCTCTTCTGTGTAATTTAATACGCCATGATGAACAAGAACTTAGCTTATTCTTAACTCTGCCCAAAGAGGCTTCTGCTCTGTAATTCAGAAGGCTCAAATACAGTCAACATTAACACTCTTATAACAAAGTTCTGATACAACAGTGAAAAGCAATGGCTCCAGAGACCAGAGACCAGAAAGGAGACAAGAAGCTGCATTATACTCACTTTTTGTCAGTTCCACTTGAGAGATGAGGCAAAGCTTCCAAAGCTTGCTTAAAGCTTGAGCTGCAAGGAAACAAAAAATACTCATATTCCACTGGTACAAGTCTCAGCATTCACAGTTTCTCTCTACAAATTCCATGGAGATACACTATATTTTATCTATTCTTATTTCAATAAATTAACAAACTATTAACTTGACACCTGACAATCACGTGCAAATTGCACATAAAGTGCTCATGAATTTGAGCAGGTCTCTTAACATTCCTAGTGCAATGTATACCAAACACCAACAGGAAATGTTAAATCATCAGCTGATTTAAGACTGTGCTTGACATCCCGGACTCTTCAAGAATTACAGATAGTTGCCAGCCTGCCTTCTGCCTCAAAGTGACCATCAGAGTATGAAGCACAGGTAAAACATTGATTTTGGCTTTCTGTGCTCAGTAGACAGGTGACTGCATTCTCCCCTACAGAAGAAGGCCTACAGAGAGAATTACATTAGGTATGCATTGAAGTAATGTAGATTCATAGAATGGTTTAGGTTGGAAGAGACTTCTGGAGCTCTTCAGGTTCAACCCTCCCTCTCAAAGTAGGGCCAGTTTTGAGGTTAGCACAGGTTTCTTGGGGCATTACCCAGTCAAGTTTTGAGTAACTCCAAAGATGGGGTTTCCACCCACCTCTGAGCAACACATTTGGAACAGAAGGGCAGGGAACAATGCAGGACCTGCAGAGATAGGTACAGTCTTGTCAGCAAAAGATTAATATTGTGATTCATGGCAACTACGACTAGTGACAAGTCCAGGAATAAAAAGGCATCAATTAAACTCCAGCTTCCAGGGTTCACTGTGCTTTGCCCCTGTGCTGATTAGGGACAATACCACTTCCATTTTATCCAGTTTGAGCCAGTGCCGAGTAGTTTTCATTTAGAGGTCTTCATCACTATCAGACACTCAGAACAGGGAAGCAAGTCTTCTGTAACGGATTGCAGTGACACCACAGGACACTATCTGTAACACTATGAAGACCCTCAAACCCTACAGTATGTTGATTAGGTAAGATTACCAAATTGCCATCTGTGGGAATCAGTAATGCCAATCTTAACAGAAGCGTAGGTAATTAAAATAACGAATGAACCTGCCCATATCCAGTCTCTGACAATCACCTAGAAATTTCACCCAATTAACTTTACTCAAAAATGCTGTCTGCTTTTACGTGCCTTGACTGCATCAACCACTGATGCTGCTAATGCTTTTATTTCTCCCTCTACATTAATATGTGAGTGTGTCCCACACTATTTAGCTTTGGTCTTGCAGCTCACTGAGATATAGTAAATTGCTGAAAGCCTTTTGAAGGCTTTCATTCTAAGAGACAGTGTGACTCTGAATTCACTTTCCCTGACTAGGTGTGTGGAAACAGGAGTAGGGTATTGTATAAGCTTGCAGAGAGCCCTAATTCTGCATATGCCTATAAGGGGATCCTGTCAGTGTCTGGTTCTGTTGCCTCTCTGATGTGTCTGGAAGGTTCTTTGCTGTGTGCTTTATGAGACTGCTGTGAAAAAGGATAAAACTCTGTGACATCTGCTTTTTTCTTGTTTTACCATGATTTTCCTCAGCAGCTGTATTGCTGTTAAGAAGTTTTACTTCTATTTTTTGAGTAGCAAACACTAGTTTGTGTCTAAAAATTCAAGTAAAAAACCAAACAAAAAAGTAATTATTTTCTTTCACCTGATAAAACCTTGGTAGTAATCTGTTTTTCATATATTTAATTTTATATCACATATCCTATTTGAAGCAAAATTTCTTAATCTTTAATTTACATTATGTGCTTTTGCATGTTTACAAAGGAGTCCACTATGTTGAAAAAACAGACATTCCAGCACATCTTACTTGCTTTCAGGTGTTAGGTATATGGCCACGGTATCTCTCAATGCACAGATTTCAAGTCTTGCCTAAAGACAGAAACACAAATATTGAAACAACGTCCTTTCATCAAGTGAGTACCAGTATCCCAAAGCTTCATCATTTTTAGAAGCAAATATTATTGCACGCTGCAGTTGCAAGCAGTCTTGGCTTTTAACAGTTTGTTTCCTGTATTTTCAGTTGCCACGCTGCTAGGTCAGGAGGCTGCTAAAAAGTAATTTCATACTTTTGATTCAAGTCAAATCGTACGGTCACTATGCAGCAGTATAAAAACATTGGTTTGTCTCTCAGTAACAGTAACAAATCTTTAATTCTGTTCCATCTCTTCTGTATTATGATAGAAAGATAGAAGACTGCTACTTTAATTAATTTCATTTATTTATTTATTCATTATTAAATGTAGTGAGCTTAACTTCTCACACCGTGGTTTGGCCAGGGAGGAAGGAAACAAAACAGTACAAAAATTTGTCAATATACATTTTATTCTTGGTTTTCCTGTTGAATTTATTTTTTTCCATCAGATGAGGAAGTAGAAGGTTGTGCTCTGCCTCTTGTCTGTCACCTGGTGAGCACACATACTTGGAGATTTTACTCCTGCACTGTACTGTGTGTTTAGGTATTGATTTTCACCTAGGCAAACTATGGTGGAGTATGAACTGAACGACTAAACAAATTTCATAGATTGTCCTTTAGTCTTTGAAAAGGGATCATCATCACGAGTTTTATATGAAATAGAAATATTATACATGTGATCAATATTTTAAGTTATTTCATTTAAAAATATGCAGTGAACTTTATCCAAATTCTTATTCCCTTATTGTTCATCATAAAGACAGAACTTAATCCAGTTAGCCATTACAGAAATTGATCTACATTTAGAACTAACTAATAGGACACTCATATTCCAAACCAAAACTTTTTCATAATGCAACACAGACATTTAACTCCAGTTCTAATGAAAGGTTTTGGTTTTTAGGTCTTACCCTCACCTCTCGGAGGTAGGAAGCCAGCTGAGATTTATGCTTTTTTAGCACCAAAACTTCCTGGCACAAAACACAACATAGCCCCTCACCAATTTTATACTCATAAGAAATGCTTTTCTCACCACAGAATGTTTCACCTCATTTTGCATGGTGCTCCAAGCTGAACAGCCTTGGACTTTTTGAAGTCCTACACATAAGATTCTGGATTCTTTCCTACGTTTTAGGAGGTAGCAGTACCATGGGGAAGTGCCACAGCCTAAATAAACATGGTGGAAGGGCAAACCCTGCAAACCCTGCAAAACTGTGGGTCATGGGATGTGGGAATACAGGTTCAGGCTTCTCTTTGGGAACAGGTATTTTTTGATTAGTCTGACCAGGCTCAGATCACTCTCACAGTGCTGCTGTCTGCCAGACAGGATTTACTATGTTCAGAGGAACAGAAAATGACTGAGTGACAAATTTACAGAAGGGAGAGAAAATGTTTTCAATTATGGGTTTAGGCAGCAAGTTCATACAGTGGGTTGTCTGGTGAAACAAACATTTTATATGGGAAGCTTTGTTGCTGTTCATTGATTTGGTTTTAAGTAGGCAGCCAATCTTATCTGGCCGAGAACTTCCTACATTAGTATCCTGTCCAATGCAATTACAACCAGCAATTGGAAAGTAAGGCTTGCAATTGGATAATTATTTTCTGATCCTAATGAAGGAATGTCGTAACGTACAATGAAAACTGAGAGTTTGCTCTTCTTGCCTGTTACAGCCATAGCAATCATTGACTCAAAGGGATTTTTTTAAGAAAAATTTTTCTTAGAGTCCTTTAAAACCTATGCAATAGTAAGTACAACTACCAATCCAGCCATAAATGAAGGCAGCGTAAGAGTATCTGTTCTACTGATGTTGCAACAAAGTGCTAATGTAGAAATAGTGTAACAGGCAAGTGTCTAGTTTTGCAAAGACTTGCAAGATCCTACTGCATCATATTTTCAAGATTTTTAAATCTCAAAATATCACAAAATTGTTTTTTCTTAGAAAATAATTTTTGATGACAGGCCAAAGACAGTATTTAATAACATTTCAAACACATACCATTAAGATGCTTTATATCTCATAGGGTATAGGTAACCTTTTATGCACTCAGCCACAAAGACAACACTAAAATATAATCAAACCCAAAAACCAGTATCCCAAAGGGTATTAATCCATAAATCTGAAATAGGTTGTATAGGAATACTTTTTATCTCCCTGCTTTCACTGCTACAATAAATCCAATACACAGATCATACCTCTCTTTGTAACTCTCAGTTTTCTAGATTCAGGTGTTTGACAGTACAAAGTATTCAGGTACCTGCAAAGCTCCGTTTTTGCTGAAGGATGAAACACACTGCATCAGTCGACTCAGTTCTTCAGAGACTGCTTCTACAACCCTTGCCATTACCCGAGGAACCAAGTCTTTGGAAATGGTAAACACCTGATTTTTATGAAAGAAGAATCATGAGCACAACACCTATATTAACAGAAATATTTTCTATAGTAACATTTCAGTAAAAAGCATTAAACACTTTGATTGAAAGGACCACTTCATTTTTTTCAATGGACAAAAAAATTTCAAAGCAACTGGAATATGAAGGATTTATTTTGATGCTTGCCCTGTGCTTTGACCAATCACCTCTCTTAACAAACATGTTAGCTATATGATATGTGATAATGACAACTTCCTGGCAATACCTAAAAGCAGCTAGACTTCAAAATATGTTCTCTCGGCTGATGGATACAGGCAGTCAGGTGGTTGTACCTAGTCTCCTGTTTTGTAGATAGCACCTTTAATTCGGGGTTGTGTGACTGACTGACCCAATTACACATTCAGCCTCTTTTTACTCATGTATTTTGCTATTTCTTTTAGAATCCTTTATATTTGACCACTGTCAAATGGCTAGTGTCTTTATGCTCTGTGGCAGAGATAAGTCTCTGAAAGGGTTTGAGAGTAGGGTAGTGTGATGGAATTTAATTTAGATCCTTCCACTGCTAGCATTTATTAGTTCCCTAGCAAAAACATTACACCTTACTGTTTTTTCTATACATCAGGGCCATCTTTTTAGCTGCTTATTTGCACAACTTTAAAAAGAGGTATTTGGATCCTCCATTTGAGGTTCAGAATAGCAACTGCAACAAAGCAGCAACACAAAATTAAACGTTAGATCTATGCCTGAAGGAAATCATGAAGAAACCAATCTTCCTTTAAGGGAGCTTTAAGGAAGCGAGAAATTATTGGTGAATTTGAAAAAAAAAAGTATTATTTTTCTACTCAGAACTGGGGAAAATGCAGGCCAAGAGGTTGGAATATAGGAGGAAGTGAGATTATAGGTTAGGCAGACCAAAATTTGTGTCAAGACTTAAAGGTGATGATAAAGCTGCACTAAAACCGTACAGGGTTGGAGGACACAATGAACTGAGGATGATGCGATTAAAGTGGTGCAGGAAGGAAAATAAATAGCACAGAAGTTTTAAACGCTTGGTTTAAAATGATATATATATAATTAAAAAGTAGTTGAATGATTTTTTGCTAGAATACCTTTGCTTTATGTGAAGTTTAGATCTCATGTCTGACAAGGAAAGGTAGTAATTGACAGAAGATATTCATACATGTGCATAAAAGTAAGTTAAGGGGGGAAAGAATGCAAGATTCCTACACAGTTTTCAGTGATTTAAGAATTATGTATCAGGGATCCCATAAAGCTGACTGTCCAAAAGGCAGGTCTCTACCACTGGCTAAGTACACTGACCACTTACATGTCAGCTATCAGCTGTTGTCATTGCCAGTTTAAACATGCAGCCTGTTTTAACTGTTGTGACCCACAAATGCTAGGTAAGTGACATACTGAGCTGTACAGTAAGGGGGGAAAAAAAACCCAAACCCAAACCAGTAACCATCTGGGGAGGGGTCATCTTAGTCAGCAGCAAATATTGCTGAGCAATTCAACACAAAGATACCAGGAACATGCCCCAAAATCTTCTACTGAGAAGAGAATATTTGTGCTGACAATAAGCACTCTTGAAGTTACTAGACAGAATCCAAGAGAAAAAAACTTCTCAGCAATGGTGAATCATCACAAATTTGCAATAAGCAGCCCTTATTTTGATTTCAGTTAAATTTGAATTCAAAGGCAGAGAAACAATTTTCTTTCCACTTTAGTCCATGATTGCTGTTCAGCTGATGGTTAATTTTTGCTGTTTCGAGCTACAGAAACTTACAGCCTTGCTAACTAAACTTAAATCTGACACAACTTACAGAATTTCAGCAGAAAACAGTGGAAATGGGAGTTTCATCTTGACACACGTTTTCCTATTTCTGTAATATTTCACATCTAGAAATTTATGAGACAAGACTATTTAGGCCAAAATCAGTATTGGTCTCAATGAAGTCAGCAAGGCAGTGCACCTTTCTGCTGCAGCGTTTGAACGAGTATGCATGTTCACAGGATTAGCTCAGTAAGTCACAAATACCTTCGAATTCTTTAAAGCAAAAACTGTCATTTTCATTTTTATTAATTTCCACTACACTGAAAAACAACATTAAAAGTGAATGTGATGTTAGTATGTATTTTTGATGTTGCTTATTCCCCCATTGAGAAGTATTTGGTAAAATCAGCAATGCTTCTGTGAAAACTGCTGTAAGTAAATACTGATAGTGAATAAAAAACTTTGCAAGTGATATTTAAAGTTTCTAAAAATATTTTAATTTATATGAATCCTTGTAATTTAAGGAGGAATAAAATAAACCAAAAACCTCAAGTGAATCTCATCAGATTTTAAGTAGATGGAAAAGGTAGAGCAGCTTTACTTGTGGTATTTTGAAAGGTAAGAGTGATATTACTACCAATGCTTGTACTAGGAGCAACAGTAACCTGGTAATACTCTTGATGATTCGAAGGAAGGAGCACGCAGAAATTTAAAGGCTATAGAAATTTCCTGAATATTATCACAAAAGGCCAAGTAACCGCAGCCTATTTTAATAGGCACTCCCTATTATAAGCCATTATCTACCTATTTCAGACATAATTTGTGCTGTACAGAAACTATAAGATATTATGGTTTAAGGTTTCCACTTTTTATCCTATGTACAAGAATGACATATATTGCTTTTTTCACTCCAAGTGGCGTATGTTGAACATTTCTTCCAAAGCAAAGCACAAGCTCATTTTCATATGTTGTGGAAAATAATCAGAGAAAGTGAGCATCATCTCTCTCTCTCTCTCTCTCTCCCTCTCTATTTAATCTGCATGAAAAGAGAAGAATTGAGCTTTAGACTTTGGCTTTCCTCACCATCAGACAGTGGAAACAAAAAGGTGTAATGGAGTGTTACTGAGGATAAACAGTTCATCTCCTTCTGCCCTTAAAAACGATAGCAGCTGCATACTTGTTTGGCTAAACCCAACCCAAAGCACTTACATCTATAATGAAGACACTTCAACAAAGGCACAATTTTCAGGGGTGATGAAAGCCAGGACTTACCATGCAAAGTACACTGAAATTATTATTATGAATGTAAGTATAAAACAACCTGAAATTTTTCTCACCTCTGCATGCACAGCAATGATATTCACTAATGCCTCTTTCAAATAGTTTCTGACACCTGAAACAAAACAAACAAGATAATTAATTACTTTAATTCTGTTGTCTCAACAAAGCCATAATATTCTACCGTTCAGAACTGTACTTTTTATTTTCATTCTTTCACTAGCACTTTTGCAATCAGAGGCAGAAAGAGAAAGTTCCATAGCCACACCACCAGTCTATTTCCTTTTTCAAATCAAATGGAGAAAGGCACATTTCCTTACAGCAAAAGGTTAAAAAAGCCAGTAGGTTCCTGTTTCAGTATTCTTCTTCTCTGGCAACCCAAATTTGCAATTTAATAAAAACTTAGCATTATTAAAAAATAAATTCTGGATGTCTTGCTAGAATACACACACTATGGTGCAGAACATGCGCTACAGCTCAGTAAGTTCTAAAGAAACAGAGAAGACAAGGGTTTACAGTCTTCAAGAAGATCTTACTACTTTATTGCCTTCTCTGACTGTAAATTATTATTATAGATAGAAATAGCAGGGACTCTTGTTTCTCTGAAAGCGGTGCAGAAGATATTACCCATGGCAGTTTATAGGAGATGCCCATGCCTCAGTAGAAATTTCCTCTTGGGGAAGGTGCAGAAGTCAAATAAGCATTTTATTTGCCAAGCATATGAAACATTTGTCAATTTATACTAAAAAGTAAATTCTAAACAGAAGGACATCCAGCAGGGTGTGCTTTAGATAGGACAGACTTAGTCCCCTATGCTGCTGTAACTCTGAAGTAACTTCCCAGAACTGGACTCCAATTGTGTAAGATCTAAAATTCAAGAAATCAAAAATTATGAAAAATCTAAAATTATCCCATTTGCTTTTCTGGGCAGTTCACTTTGTAGACAAAGGCAAATTAGAAAGCATTTAACTCATTAAAATATGCATAGATGTTGTAAGTGCAACACAAAGTAATGAGAGAGTGTTACTGATCCATATGACCTCAACTTCTGATTTTGATTATTCTAGCATGAAGCAGGGAATGTGCAATAATCCCATCATTCCCTTCAGTAAATTCAATCAACAGTAGAAGATCAGAATCATGGACAAAGAGTGGTGAGACCACACAGCTCAGATCACAGTGTGATTAATGCTGCTGCTATAAAAATTACAAAGTGAACCTTTAATCAGTTCATCTTACTTGCTCCACCTTTCCTCAGATAATACTGATGTAGCAACTTAATCTTGCTACAAAAAAAAGCTTCAAAAGAAGTTACATAAAATCCTCAAAATGAGTTATTCTACGGGAGAAGAGAGTAGTGTCTCAAAACTGCCATCTCAGTTGTGCTCATTTCTTTAACCACTGGTCCCACAACTCTCCTCAAGATCTAAAAAGGAGACATTTGTTCTCTCTTACTTAGACAATGATGGCCAAACATTTTGTAGGAGTAGGACTAAAGGACAACAAGAGCCCCTTGCACGAGGTACAAACTTTCATCGCCTGCATCTACACCATGCATCTGCAATAGACTGGAGGGTGCTTCCAGGAGGGCATCACAGGTCTCCTGTTGGAAGTGAGGGTGTTTGGGGGAAAGTGGAGGGAGAGATGTTGAACAGTGAATCTTGTTCCAACGTGCAGTCAGGACGTAGCTGAGCTCTGCACCCAGGCCTGTGTATCAAGACAGTCTCTGTATCAAAAGTTCATAGCGAAGAGGCAAGCATCAAAGATGATTTGACTGCTCTCACTACAAGCAGTTTGGTTTCTGAACATACAAAAGAATTAAGACCTTTTTAGAAGGAATGTTCTATTTTCACTCTGGAAGAGATGCAAATAACTGAAAAAGGCAGAGAAAAATACAAGCCTTTCCCCACACATTCCAAAACATCTCTAATGCCTTTTCTCACTATCTTTATTCTTTTCCTTGAAAAATCTCAGTCACTTTTTCCATTTAAACTAAATCAATGACAAGTCAAACAGCACAGTATACTCAGCTGCAATTTCTTGTATCTTAGTGATTTTTTTTGGAACAAGGAAAGAAGGGAGGGAGGAATAGAACAATACCAGAAATATTATGAAAATTTTTTTCTCGTCCTCTGTAACCTGCAAAACAAAGTAAAAGTGCTACACACCAGCACCTGAACCACACCAAAAGATCACAGGTATATGTGGAAATGCAACACCCCCTTCCTTTTTCCTCTACTACTGTTTTCCTTCTTCTACTTTGCTCTGCCCCAGTTTAAATCCTCTGCAGGTTTCATATCACAGAGCATAAAATTTGTATCACATCCCACAAGCAAATACAACCTGACCAGGTGCCGAACGGTGGTATGCAAATCACATCAAGAGGTACAGGGCGAATCTGGGAGCTGGTTTGCAGTTAACCTCAGGGTGCAAAGTGTTGATTTTGGTCTGCAAACCTATGTGGTATTCAGCTTTTGGCTGCCTACCGGTCTCATCTCGTGACAGTAGGATCTTTCATGTGGAAACTGTGTGTTTTTACTTTCGCACAAATGCTGCACAAGATTAAGACTTTGATGGTCTCCATTCTCTGTGGATACCTGAGCACTGCCAGAGCATGTTCATTTAGTCAATAAAATTTCACTTGTGAACTAAGCAGCATTTCTTTGCCCCAACTGATTGTTCCCTAATGAAGCATCTCACTCAAACCCTGGTACAGCTGGGGAGCCATAACAAAACAGAAGAGGCCAGCTGGCTGAGCTGGGAAGAACTGTTATCAAGGAGACAAGTAAAAAGCTGGAATGTATAGAGATTGAAGTGGGTGAGTTGTGTAAAAGGGTGATGTGGTTTTAAGGAAGAATCCTCATTTTCCACTCATTCCACCCAAGCTCCTGAGGCAGCGAGCCTCTTCTGCTTTTGTGCAACTTGGCTCAGAAGAGGAGCTGCTGATTCTGTCTGCTGCTGCTGAGAGCACCCAAATTAAACAACTTCTGACTGTGCCAGTAAAAGTTGCCTATCAACTATGTCTGTGGAAACCTTCCATAACATATTTCTTAAAGAGTCAGTCGCTGCGATACTAACCAGGGACTGTTAACTTCCACAAGCATGAAACACAACAGCACTACAGCAACATTAGCCCAGGTGTTAGATACCATTGTCTGGTGGTGCACAGCTAAGACTGAGACAAAAATGATGATTTTATAACTGAAGACTTCAAAATGCATTGACTAAATGGAATTGAGATGGAACCTATAGTAAAAATGAAGTGAGAGTAGCTTAGTATTGCACATTGCTAACCCATCCCAGCTGTAAGATAAATTTTTTAACTTAAACAACAGCAAAAAGGCATAAGCAGACATACTTTACCTTGTGTCCTTGTACCGCATACAAAGACAAATGGGTGAACTGAGAGCTTAAATGAGATTATTTCTTACAATTCCAGTAGCACTCCGAAGCTTTCACAGCAGGTCTAGTCCAGCTATGCCTGCAGAATCAGGGACTCAGCTCAAGATCAAGTGTTTCCTCAGTTTCTTAGACAGGTTTTGCAATTTAAGAGCAGATAATTCAGCACAAACTGTGGAAAGCTATGCAGTTTAGAGACAGTCCGTCTATATGAAATTGTAATTGTTCCAATTGCAGCATCCAATAGTCTAAAAGACTTGGTCTTGGTAAGCTAAACAAACCAAAGGTGGAAAAAAGATGTGATTGCACTCCAAAAATGCCAGTAAGTGGAACCAAACAGGGAGAGAAGGGAGAACTAGCTAGGCTGAAGTATACTGGCACTAGAAAGAAAGGTATAAGTGAACTGACCATCTGTAAACTTGGGCTGGAAATTAAAAGTAACCATGTATCAGGTTTGCTCTCACTATGCTATTAAATATGAGGTGTTGTGACAACCATTGTTACCAGGGATTCGGTTTCCTGTCATGAATAGAGCATAAGTAAAAGGGTATTTCCCCCCAGCCCTTCTTTTTTTTTTTCTTATTTGTGAAGGATTTTCATTTTTGCATGTGGAGACAGAGCCAAACATATCTGAATGTCAGGACCTGCAGGCATAGTTAATAACTATACTATATTTTGAAAAATTACCATTAAAAAATATCCAATTTCTGATTTATATCACTGCACTGTTTGTGGTAAGCTTTGTTGAAGCAAAGTATTACTTTTCTGGAGTATGATTCACTGGAAATACAAGCAGCAGCATCCAACTGTGAATTTGTTGTGAAATTCACTTCAAAATGAAAAAATTCTGTCTAGAATGGAATTTTTGTACAGCATTCTCTACGACTGTTCAGCAGCCCACGCAATTACAGTTTTTGGGACACCATGCTGCCAGTCCTATTATACCGCACTGAAAGCTAATGCACCATATAACTGTAGGTTGCAACCATTAGGCTAATCAAGTGAAACATAACATTCTAAAGTCTAAAATACCTCTTATTTAGCATATTGAAGCATAAATACAATACCTTTCCATAGCTTCTGACAGAAATGTGTTAAAGTCTCAACAAGCCCTTGCAATTTCTCTTAGGAAAATGTTATTATTCTGTTACAGCATAAATGCATTCCACTCCCACTCTATTCTCAACACCAAAGACACTGACTTGCTGGAATTCTAGCTGCCACTAACAAAACCCCAGTACTGCTCTGAAGAAAAATGGAGGACAGTTTCAGCCATCAGCTATCACAATGGCTTACAGAAACTTTAAAATAGCACCTTCCAATTTTGGGCCCTTCACTGTACTTTTTACTAGTGAAACATCTAACAAGATTATCCATCCAATTTAATCTCCAGTTTATATTACCTTTTTTTAAAAAAAAAAATTATTATTACTTTTTTTTTTAAACAAACAAAATCTGTCAGAAAGTCTAAATTGACAAGCAATTTTAACAATACCATAAAGCTGTAGCAAGGACATGGGGAAAGCAGAAGGGAAAAAGATTTGTGGTTCTGAGGAATAACAGAAACTAAACTTCTAGCTTGCCAATGCAGGAGTCATTCAGGAGGTCTTCAGATGGTGTAGTTCTACTAGTTGTCCCACATGTAGTTCTCAGAGCTGTTTCCCCCAAGTACTTAGATGACAGCATTCTACTATAAAACCTCCAAAGTGACTGAAT